GGGCTTCATGGACCAGTATTTGGACGTATCCAACTTCGGAAAAGGACTAAATACCGGGAAATCCTAAAAGCATAATCTTAGATCCCATCTAACTTCAAACATGGACTCAAAAGCTAGGAAATCCCAAAATACAATATTTGTAGATCCTAAACCAAGTCCAATGCTACAAAAGGGCAAAGACTTTTAAGTATTGTAATAGCGGACTGGTCTCATACATCCACGGAGATCTTGGCATCAAGTTGGGCAAACTCATGGAAAAAAGCCTTGAAGTGCTCATAAGAATGCTTTACATCATCCACACTGCACATCTCTCTTATGCTGTGCATTGAGAGTTGTGGTGCACCAACATCTACAGTGCGGATCCCCACTCCACTAGCCAGTATTGGACCGATTGTTGACCCACAAGCCATGTCATTACGAACAACAAATTCCTACATAAAGCGTGAAAAAGCGCACAATGAAGGAAAACAAAAAGCATTAAAGCATATTTACTTGGTGATGATGGCCAGTGTTTTAAAATACGGCCGCATCATGAGGGATGCACTCGCATCTGCATCAAAAATTGGCGCACATGCGCTTTGGCAGATGCAGCAGCATATGCACCGCAGCAGGCCACATCGTAGCCGCATCCCGCATTGGCCACATCGCACCGCATCCAATTGCTACAGTGTTCACCGAAACTCTTTTTTTTTACACCCCTAGGGGAGGGGTAAAATAGTCTTTTTGACCATCCAAATGTTAGGGAAACTGCCTGAGGGGATATTAGGGGCCCTAAACGAAGATTTTCAGCCACTTTTGTAGCTTTTTTTTAATCAAATCGAGGTAAAAAAAATTTTGGTGCATCGAAATCTTTGATTTGGCAATTGTTTGGTACTTGGATGTTCATTGGATGCCTTTGATTGTTGATTTGGAGATGTTAGGATGAATTTGTGATAAGAAATCAGGAGTTTCAAAGGTCGTGAAGAAATCGAGCAGTGCTCAGAGTCGATAAATTTTTTTTCTTTCTTATACAATATTACTAGTATACATATTTTTGGAGTAATGTCTTCTTCCCAGTCTTCTAGTAATAAGGATCCGGCTTGAAAATATGCTAAACTAAAAATCCTAAATATAGAAATCGTGTGATATGCTTGCTCTGTGGAAATATTTATATGGGTGGATAACTGGATACAGAATCTCAGACAGCTAATAGTTTTGAAGTTAATCATTAAATTAAAATACCTACTATCACATATACCACCTTCATATATTTTTTTTATGCATTAACTTATTTTTTTAGATTTTTTAGAATTTTTTTATATTTATTGACCGCATCATCGCGATGCACCAGCATCCGGGCTGCATCGAGCCGCATCGCCGCATCGGCCCCCCACCACATCAGGGCCGCATCCCGCATTTTAAAACACTGATGCTAGCTTGCTCACTCTTCTTTATGAATGCATAGATTACCAACTAGAATTAATTATCGATGCATCAACTAAACACAAACAAGTTTTACTACCACAAATCATAAGTTCCATAAAAATGCCTGGGAAACAAAGAATAAGTTAGAGAATTCCCAAGCTTGGAGAACATTGATTGTGAGGTGAATCTACCTGGACTGGAAGCTTGTGCTGCTTTGCAATCTCCCGAAATATGAATGATGTCACAGAGTTGCTGGCATAACGCTGATTGGCATTGTGCTTGATGACAAGGCCTCCATGCAATCGAGGCTGGTGATTTTCCTCGTGTTTATCCTAAAAAGTGAGGTCCACCCTCATGAGATAGAAGAACTGATTCAAGAATTAATGCATTTCTGGCTTTAACCATATAGCTTGAGCTAGAGGCCATCCTCATGAGATAAAGAACCTGATTCCAGAATTAATGCATTTCTGGCTTTACACATGACGTACCATATAGTTTGGGTGCAACGCGTGAGCCATGTCAGCAGACACCAAGAAACTCCTTTGCACTGCTTTCTCTAGCACCTGTAAAGTTCACAATAGGAAATGGATTCAGTTCAGTAAGAAAGCAAGATACGATTGTTCATAATAGAAACACCACCAAAAATGCCATCTCTCAAAAAGACACAATGTCAATTACCTGAAATGGCAAATAAATGATACCTAGCAACTAAATGCGTTGGGCTAGACATGCCTTGACACCAATAGAGATACCGCATACCCTTAGGGTATTAACAAGTATAAATGAAATATATCATGATTAATGTATAACATTATGCATAACCATGTGATGTGTGGTCACTACATATAAAAAAGATATGGTGGTCACACGGTTCAAACTTCTAATTCAGTTCATGGTCAAACACCTAGTTTATAGGAGTTGATGGATGGAAAAACTCTCAAATCAAACTTCTATCTTAAGATTAACTGTATATGAAACAAAAGAAAGCTAATTTGAAGCTACAAAAAGTGGCCCAAATCAAAATCCTTCCCAAGAGTGGCTAGACTGATTTATTTTATGGATGTCAGCTTTGGTAACTTCTAAGCTTAAAGAGAGCTTTTGCCTCCCATGAGCTAATTTCTACAACAATAGCTCACAGCCTAATAATTTCTAAAAAAGCTTATCCAAGGGGATTTATTTAACCCTAAATTTTGGGAGGAACCATATTCATCCTAATGGGAAAGCTCAGGAAATAAAAATAAAAAGAAAGGCAAATGTTTTGTTAAGTCAGAGAAAATGCAGTGAATGCAGGTCATCTGCTTTAAAATAGAAATAATGGTTTTAGATTGAGGCCTTAATGGATTTGTATGACCCGAAGTTTTGCAGATGTCCACATCAACACCAAATGAATAATTTAATAAATAAAAAGAAAAGAAAATTGATCTTGATTTCCTAAAGGAATAGGTCTAAAATGAAATGTTGATGATAACCAATCTCTCCAAAAGAAATTCATATTTGAATTTTTTCACTATTTTTTTAGATTGTTCGCTGGGTTTTAGAATGTATGTGAAAAAATTGGTTAAAAACAAATCGCATAAGTAGATTTGTAAGGAGTTTTTGGGCCATGAGTTGTTGATGTTAACTATAAAGCTACTAATACGTTGATCCTAAAATGAGCGGTAGTTTAGGTTATGCTCCAAGCCATCATTAGATTTTGATCAAATGGTTGAAAATGCGTATCACCATGTAATTTTAATTTATTTTCTACAAATCAATTAAAGTTGAAATTTTCGGCTATACGCTTGACATCATCATCATGACACACCTCATTTTCAATTTTGAAAATACTTGTTTTACAATTTTTTCCTTGTGCACCCTATTATGTAGTACCCAAAATTTCATTTCAATATGATTTGTAGAAAACATGAAAAAATTCAAATTGTAACATGCATTTTCAAACATCCAATCAAGATTTGAGCTGGAGCATATAACCTAAAGTAGAATTCATTTTATATGACAACCTATTTTCAACTTTTCCTATATATATATAGACAACCAAAAAACGGCCTATAGGCGAACTGCTACAATGTTTCGCCTCTGTCACGAACTTGCTATGTCCATGACGGTTTATTGAATGGACTCGCAACGAACGGCATCGTCTGTTGCGGTTCCACGTAGGTCCATGGCGGTCGAAAAAACGAACACCATCCGATTTTTTTGGATGGTGATTGGCTTATGAGCGAATCACTGTAGCATTTCACCCATAAGCGTTGCGTAGATGCTTCCTATATATATATTTAGAAAAATGATGAGATTAGCCCACTAGCTGATATAAACTTATGTGCCCAACGGCCCAGATTGAATCTGGGCCGATCTGACAGTCACGACTTCATTTCGTGTTTGAATTTTCATTTGTTTTCTACAAATCTAAATAAATTGAAATTTTAGGCGTCCATTCTTCTCATCAAGGTGCACCTAATAAAAATATTTAAAAAATAATTCGTAAAAAATAATTTGACCAAAATACCCCCAAAACATTTCTAGGGTATTTTGGTCAATTTATTCATTGTAAATTATTTTTTTGATATTTTTATTTGATTATCATATTTTTGAAGAACACAAGCCTAAAATTTCAAGTTATTTGGATCTGTAGAAAAAAAATTAAAATTTAGATACGAAATGAGGTCGTGACCGTCAGAACGGCCCAGATCCAAGCTAGACCATTGGGCTCATATGAACTCATATGAGCTAGTGGGCTAATCTCATATGTCCATCCATATATATATATAGGGTGCAGTTTGCATACGGATGCATCCGTAAGTGTAGAGGTAATAAGGTGCACCTTAAAATTTTATCATGGTATATAATTTTGATGTAAAATGTACTTAGGATTATCTCAAAATCTATTTTTATATATAATTATAAAATTTTAAATTTAAAAAATGGTTAAAATCAAGTAGATCTATATACATATGAATATCTTGAAAATGGACGGTGTAGATAATATGTTGTAAAATGCATTAAGTCTGAGACTCAAAATCTTTTTATTTTTCATAGTCATACATCTCGATGTCGAGATGATCGATCAAAGGGTTTTTCAACATTAAAACTACCTTTTCCGATGGATTTTTTAGGGGCATCTGTAGTTCTACATTATAAGGTAACATCCTTATATAAACTTTTTCCATATATATATATAAGGTTTTTCTAATATGAACACCCCATGAGATCTTATGGGTTACATATAGAAAGGGGTGTGAACAACCAAAATTACTTTAGTTGCCTTTTTTTATTCTACTGCTAAAAGTACTTTTCTCATTAGAAAGGGTAGTGTTGGTATTTATACTAAAAGACAAAGTATATTTATCATCTCGAGAATGGCATATTTGAAATATTCACTAAGAGACAAGAGCATTTACATTGATAAAGTACCTAGAAGTTCAGTCCATATTTATCCTTGTCTTTTAGTAAAAATATCGACAATACATTTTTAATGATAAGAATGTCCTTCTTCATTTTATGACATTGAATAAGAATAATTGAAGGGGCAGTTACGAAAATTTTAACAGTTCATACCCCTTCCTAAATGGAACCTATAGAGTTTTTTATAGGGTGTTAACAATCCCTATTGGGCTAGAGTGTTTGTTGGACCCCCACATTTCCCAAACATACATAAGCCAAACATGAAAAAACAGCTACGAAGTGTATTTATTGGTTCACAAAATTTATTCACCACCCCATAGTCACTCAAGGGAACAAAAAGCTCATGAAAAATATAATGAAAGAAACTCTTAGAAAATGGTTTTCTTGTGGACAAAAAATATAGTGAACAAGTGCCATCCATTTTGATGGAGGTCAGACCTAGGCCTTGACTTCTTGGTCCCCAAATTCCATAAATGGCCTTATATTGCCAATTTGAACGATTAAAAAGAAAAAAGAAAAGAAAAAAAAAAAAGAAAACCAATGTTATGTTCTCAAATGCCTAGATTTAACCATCCAAATCGATAACCCACTATCATTGATTTCTCTAAGATTGAAAATCAGTTCTCAGTTGTCCATTTTTTTTATTTTTGTTCTTTTTTGAGAATGATCTACAAGTTGAACTGTATATGCAAAATTTAGGGTCAAAGAAATTACTTAACGGCGGGAACATGAACAAAGCATTTACAACCAAGCCAAAAAGATGCATGTGAGCATAAGAGGGAGGCTGCCCGGTGAGAAGCTGGACAAAAGGAGTTTTTAGGTGTTATTGGCCTGTGAGCTAATACCGAAAAGTTATCTGATGGGTGCACCAAATTTTCTACGTGTGAACACAAACATGCATATGAGCGCACGCACGCACATTGGGAAATCTGTTTGTGAGCTGCCAGGCCTACAGGGCAGTTGATGGCTCAGATTCAATCTCACAAATCTGGATAGCCAACCTGTATATGCAGTATTTCATTTTCAGTAATTTTTAAATCATTTCACCTGAAATTTTTGGAAGTGGTGTGCCAAACTTATAGAACATTCTAGGAGATCCACACAGGGTGTGCCTGAAACTATAGAACATTCTAGAAGATCCACAGGCCCAGGTGAAGCAGATTGGCAGCAGCCAAGCTTCACCTGGTCTATGTACATTAAAAGTGAAACCTCATAAGGAAGCAATTGAGGAAGGAGTTTAAAAATACGACCCAATCAGTTTCAATCACATCGTTATAGATGATCCAACATAGGGTTGTTGGTGAAAATGGAGGAGCAATTCTGGACAAGAGGGTATTGGAAGAAGAATTGGGGCCTATTAACAAGGAAGCAAAGTGGATGTGTAGTACGTACAAGTTGGAAGAAGTGTAAAAGTTGAGCAAGGGGAAGATGGAGGGCAAAGTGATAATAATGAGACCACTGAAGTAGAAGATGGTGACAGAATGGACCTTGAGAGCAAGCATATGTAGCGTGGTGGGAGCAAGCACAATGGTTGGACCAGTCTTTGGAATTTTGGCTATAAAGGCTACCGACGTTACCAACCATTAGAGTCATTCCTTAAAGATTAAGGAGACAATCTGAATTAACATACTCCAAATCACAATTACAGGGATCAGGACCGAATTAGATCCAAGATCATGATAGGGATAAGAATGGAGATCGTGACATGTGGGAAGTTCCCTATGGTAGGGATTATGGTCCATACACCTTGAAATCTACGGATCTCAATCCAAATATGGCAGGGTAAGGTGGCAGCAGGCCCGGCCGGCCCTGGCCCTAGAGCGGCCCTAGTCCCTATAGGGCTGGCCTAAGCATGCTTCGGACCAAACTAGACTGAAGAGGCCCTGGCCCAAGCTAGCCCTAGCCTTGATAGGGCGTGGCCTTGCTGGGCCTGGCCAAATACAAAAGAAGATAAACAAAGGGGAAAACAAGGAAAATAACCCAGACCAGCCCTATCACAACCTTGGCCAAAGCCCCGCCTAATCCTATCGTCAAGCCATGGTTGCACGGCCCGACCCGACCCTAGTTTTTTTAGGGCTTGCCATTGCCAGCCCTATGTGGGTGAGTGTGATCCAAACTTTATCAAGATTGAAAGATGAAAGTTTATAAGACTGAGCTCCATTTGGTTTAAAATTGAGCCCTCGAGAACACTCAACTAGTACAGTATTACAATATATACCACTACATTGCACCGCACTATTGCACAATAATATACTGCTATATTGTAGTACAATACTATCCATATACTATATTCCATTATAAGTTATGCTACTACATTCAAATTTAATATATATAATTATATAATATATATTATACTATCTCATATCGACAACTATAATACACCAACTGGCAATTGCAATACTATCCTTTGTTGTTATTATATCCCACAATACTAGGGAATTTGCATCCTAAAACTCGGGATGTCAATCCTTAATGGGAAGGATCGATATTCCAAATTTTAAAAACTGAGTGAGATTCCCTTCCCTAGTGAGTGCAAGAGCGAGATTCCATAGCAGAATCAACCCTTTGGTTGCAAGATATCAATAATTATGATCAGGATAACTAAGTTCCCCCTTGTCAGCCATATTAGTTGTTCATCAAGTCCTTCATGTTGGTCGTAGTTTGAATCAATTTGAATACTCATAATTTTGTATAATCCACTTAATGGTCATAATTGCTATGCACTCAGTTTGAACCATTGAATGTATGCTAAGCAATTAAAGCCCTCTTTCTCCATCATCATCATCATCACCGCCAATTGAGCCTTATCCCAACTATTTGGGGTTGGTTACACGAATCTTGTTCTACCATTCTGCTCTATCAAGGGCCACCCTCAGTCACACCATGAGGCACCATATCTCTTTTGGGTACTTCCATCCATATCCTTTTCGGCCTTGCTCTTGCCCTTTTAGAACTTTCCACTTGAACAAAATCGCCCCTCCTAACCAGTGTTATATTATTGCACATAGCCATCTGATGCAACCCAGAATACTGCTCTTGAACATCTAAACAAGATAGATAAGCTTAAGGTTTACAAGAGGAACGACAAAATGACAAATTAGCTATTGAGTCTATCCTTTTATGTCTTTTATTTACTTCTTGGATCTTTTTATTCACTTCGCGGCATAAGTAGTAATTTCAAGAGTCTTTTATATCATTTTATTCACTAAAAGTTCTCTATAATAAAAGGCCATGATTAGGTTAGATGGATGGCTAGTTGGTATCAGAGCATGACGATTAGTAAGGATGGTACTATAGCACAACACTCTAGCATAGTACTATAGCAAGGACAGTAGCAAAATACTGTAGCATCGATTTATGTGTCCTTAGTTCAATAACCATGCCTCCACACAAAGGAAAAGGAGGAAAAGCAGCAACCTTTGAAGCATTTGATGCCAGTTTACGAAAAGGGATTGCAGATTTGAGATTGGTCGAAACCTTAGGTCTATGTTTAGCACAGATAGAAGCCCCATCTCAGAAGTATGAGATCAAGGAAGATGAGGAATCCATAAATCTCATCCATGATCAAGCTCTGAGGAGAGAGGTAGTGGATCATACGGATAGGGATAGTAGGAGACGGAAAACCATCTGAAGCTTGAGATCCCCGAGTTTTATGGAAGTTTATCCGAGGAAAATCATGGAGAAACTTTGTTCTCATCAAGTAGTTCTCAAGATCACCATGTTATGAAATGGGACTCACACCAGTCTTTGACAAGTATCTAGATGAAGATTTGCGTGTTGAGAAAGAAATGGATGATCATAGCTTTAATTGATCCAATCTTTTGCAAGGAACCTTTGATGGAGATAGTAATCATGTCTTCGATAGTGATCCCATCATTGATGAGGGTCCCATCTTGATGATGATTTGATGGGTGATGATCTCTATCGATAACAAGGTGAAGAAAAGGAGGATCAATGAGATGATGGTGGAAGTAAGGACGTTTTTTTTCTTGATAATGATCATATGACGTGTGCCCCAAGGTTTGATGATATTTTCCTATGAAAGTTTTGATAGAGAGTTCAATATAGAAGGTGGCCTTCAAATGGTTGCTTACAAGATTCCTGATGTTGGACTTCAGCTCCAACCATTATTCTATTTTGAGTGGAGAACTTCTATATCTAATCACTATGTACAAACTGAAGGAAATCACAAGGGAAATGCATCATTAATCTTGAGCCGCTTTAAAATTCATGGTAGAGGATTCTTTGATGTGTTCAGGACCAAGTGTATTGTGCTTATGTATTACAAGTATGGCAATTCTCAATGGGCCCAAAACATAATTAATCCAATGTCTATGAGAAATGTTGTAAAATGGCATGCCTTGATCTCAAGTCACATCAAGGTAGCACCAGTCAAAACTTTGAAGAAGATTAATGACAATGCCTATCAATTAAATCTTCCCAGCCAAATTTGCACTTCCGATTAATGTCAAACATCACATTACATTTTATGATGCTACCTCCGACGATGAGCAGCCGAATTCAAAGGCGAATTCTTTTGAGGAATGAGGGGATTGATGCAACCTAGAATACTGCTCTTGAGTATCTAAAGAAGAGAGATAAGCTTAAAGTTTACAGGAAGAACCACAAAAGGGTAAATTAGTCATTGAGTCTATCCTTTTATGTATTTTATTTATTTCTTTAGTCTTTTTATTCACTTAAGGGCATAAGTAGTAATTTCTAGAGTTCTTTATCTTGTTTTATTCACTTAAAGTCTTTTATAATGAAGGGCCATGATTAGATTAGATAGATGGCTAGGATTCAATTTTGTTTAGGGTTTTCTTATATAAGGGATGTACTCAAGCATAATAGATAATTATGTCATTGACTTTTATTCAAACCCTTGAGCAGCAAATGCTTTAGGGTTTGAATAAAAGTCAATGACATAATTATCTTTTACCTCTGGTTTTTCAATCTATCTCTATTTTTGGATCTTCTTTTACCTCTGGTTTTTCAATCTATCCTTTACCTCTGGTTTTTCAATTTGTCTTTTACCTCTAGTTTTCCAATTTGTCTCCTTCTTTTTACCTCTGGTTTTTCAATTTGTCTTTATTTTGGATCTTCCCTATCTTCTTCTTTGTTAAAACCCTAGCTTTAGCTATTAAGTCTGTGCCACCAACCCACCTATGTCTACTTTCCTTGATCTTGCCTATTGGAGCCACCCCTAAGTTCCCCCGTATGTATTTATTCCGAATTCTATCATTTCTTGTCTTGTCACTCACCCATCTCAACATCCTCATCTCAGCTACACCCATCCTACGGATAAGTTATTTCTTGACCGCCTAACATTCCATCCCATAAAGTATGGCTGGTCTTACAGAAATCAATGGTATATGCAGAAATCACTTAAAACTTTAGATGCACATGTCCACTTCGCCCAACCAGCTCTAATTCAAAGTGCGACATCTTTCTCAATCTCTCCATAATCTTGGATTATCAACCCAAGTTATTGAAACTCTGCCATGGCCGGTCCCAAAATATCACTATGCCTATTATCATTTTTACAATCATCACAAAACATATAATGTTCCAAAGAAAGTTGACGTCAAATATTCCAAAAAGAAAAATATATGAGCAAATGCAACACAAACATTGCATAACACAATTTACACATGTCGAGGAGCATGAAAGGTGGTCTTTTATAAAATGCTAGGTATAAATCCAAAATGCACTAATCTTGCAAATTTATAGAAAAAGGGTTATTCCAATATAATTTGGTTGAATAAACATCGAAATTAGAAATTCTAACCACTATAATCAAAATTTGTACACAAGAGGATCTAAAGCTATGAAATAAAATGCATACATGTGCAATGGCCTGTCTTTGGTCCAATGTAGAGAAAACTAGATTGTGCTATGTTGTCTCCACAGTAGAGGCTTCAAAGTATAGGCCACCATAAAAGCCAAATAAAAAAACATCATATTATGTTTTGATTCGAACTATGAACTAGCATGTGAAAAGTTCCAACCTTAGAACCCGAAGAGCAGAAGGAATTAGTGATCCTTGCAAGAGCATCTAAAATAATGGGAGAACCGGCTCCTTGCGCTGAATCAGACCCCACTTCTTCATGGTCGAACAATGCTACCATCCTAACACCAGTCTCGTTCGCAAGAGAACCCTCAGCAGTTGAATCAAATAACGCCTGAAATTGAATAAGGTAATTTAACAATATATCAATAAAAGGAAAAGTATACAATGAGACGATTTTACGTTCGGTACAAGGTGATCACAATTAGTCTTGACCATTGGATGTGAAATTGGGTGGCTGCATTTATTCCATTGACCAAGCTCCAAGTTCAAAAGAAATTTTCTCGAACTTTGCAACACACCCAAGGTATCAGATTTCACATAAGAAGGTAATAAGTAGTTGTGACCTCTTTATACAAAGAAAAATGGTCTCATTGTATATAATCCCCTAATAAAATGCCTCGCATTCTAGTGGGAAGTAAATTATATGTTTTGTTTGCATATCAAGACTAGGAAGCTAACTAGAAACTTGCAAATAGAAGGTTGGTTTCCAATCTTAATGGGCCCGAAAAGTAAGGTTCTGCTTCTCAACATGAAGTAAGTAAACATTTATGCATACGACTCATTCTCTTTACTAAATTAGCAACTCAAAGTTACATATCGAACAACAAATATAATCAGGCCCAACAAACTCCAAGGTTAAACAAATTACTTTATCATCTAAGCAAAATCAGCAAGTCTATTCAGCTTTCAAATAAATTATGTCGAAACATCTAAAGAAAAAAATCAATCGATCATTTCATCTATCATGTTTAAGTGACCATGGGATCCAACTTATGATGAAATATAACAGGGAAACATAGGATTTCATATTTTGTTCTAGGACAAGGAGTTTATTGCAGATGGAAAAACAATTCCAAACATTGTTGTTAAGGGCCACATGATAAGTAGAAAGGAGGGAAAGAGCTGTATCATAGTAATGACTTTTACATGGATCTCTCTCTCTCTCTC